CAGATCATGAGTCAGTATGGCCTCAGTGTTCACATTTTCTACTGCAAGTAGCTCTTTCTGAGTGCCCGCAGCATGGCGAGCACCCACTTCAGACACCACAATCACTGTCTTCCGACTGCAGTCTACATAGCCCCTGGCACCATGCCTATACCCACTGGACCCTCTTTTTCCCTCTCTGTGTAGCCTTCCTACATTTTCCCCTAAATGTATTGATTTGCCTGGAGTTTGAGTGTGGAGGAGATCATCAGCAAGCCTGAAGGCTTATAATCATGATATAGGTTGGAAGATCAGTCTCAGTTTGGTAATAAATGCTGGCAATCTGTGTCAGCTAATCAAACTCTCTTGGTGTCATGTCTTCTCCTCTAAAATGAGGATGATAGTCTTTCACTCCTTTTTGGTAGTTTTGTGAAGATTTTTATTATTGTCTACTGGTTGTAGAAGGAGTTTCCATCTTGATACATCCAAATATGTTTATTTCCTCTTGATCATACCCACCCCCTATAATTCTCCCTTATAAATTCTCCTCCATTCCCACATTGGTGTATGGTATCATTTACTTCTGCAGTTTGTTTGCAGATTTTTCATCTGGGTGACCTATCTAATGAGGAAAGCAAGATAATAGAGTCTCCTACCATCACTGTCTTGAGAGCTATCTGGGCTTTTAAATCCAGTAATGTCCATCTGATGATGTGGAATGCACCAACATTTGGTGCATGTATGTTACTAGTTATTGTCTCTTGATATCTTTTTTTTTCCTTCACCATAAGCCAATGTGTTCTTTTGTCAGTAAGATGTGGTTCTTGTAGGCAACAAGTGGTCAGGTCTTGCTTTTTAATCCTGCTTATCATTCTATGTCTTTTGCTTGGAGAATTAAGACTCTTAATATTCAGTGTTATTACTGAAAGGTATGAATTGATCTTTGCCATTTTACTGTTCGTATGGGAAAGTTTAGCATACATTGTCCACAGCCAGTTTTCTGTATATACTAAGCTATTCTGCAACTTGGGTCACAGAAATTGAATTGTTCCTCTTTTTTATCGGTAGTTTGTTGACCAGTGGTGCTTTTAATTTATTTTAATTACTAAAGATATATAGCACATTTCATAGTTACTGAACATTTGGAAGTTTCCTGTTTGAGGTAGATATTAGTTTCTTGACTTCCTTCCTGATGGGCTATCTTTTCCTATTAAAAATATCCAGTTAGCTATGTGCTGGTGGCTCACTCCTGTAATCCTAGTTACTCAGGAGGCTGAGTTCTAGGATCACGGTTCAAATATAGCCTTGGCAGGAATGTCTATGAGACTTTTAACCACCAGAAAATTGAAGTGGCACTGTGGCTCAAAGTGGTAGAGCACTGCCCTTGAGCACAGAAGCTCAGGTATAGCACTAGGCCCTGAGTTCAAACCCCACGACCAACAAAAATAAGTATTAAATTATATGTGAAGATATAATGGTCTCTACATTTTTGCTTATCTTTGTTTCCTGAATGACATCATTTAATGAGTAGAATTTTTATTTTAATATTTTTATTTAAAATTTTATATTTTAAATCTTAATATAATTTGTATAGAATATTCTAATTTTACCCAATTTACAAATATTTCATTTTCATAGTTTTGATACACTTTAAAATAATTAATCTGAGACTTTTGTTGTTTTTGTGTTTAGATGTTTATTTTCCTCGGTGGTGACATTGACTAGGATCTAGAAAGGGCACAACAGCATTTCTTTGTCACATAGATACCAAAGTGTCCAACACTTGCTTTATTTCATTAGAATTTCTTTTTTTGGGCTTAGTAGTTCAATCTCTTATTCTCAAGTGCCTAGAATGCAAGGTTCTCTTAATCTCTCTCTCTCTCTCTCTCTCTCTCTCTCTCCCTCTTTAGTTCCACTGGCCTATTTGTCTAATTTCCAGTCCTACACTATTTGATTATGATTAGCTTATTTGTCTAATTTCCAGTCCTACACTATTTGATTATGATTAGCTTATTTGTCTAATTTCCAGTACTATACTATTTGATTATGATTAGCTTATAACATATTTTTTAGAATTATATAATATACATTTTCACCTAATTTGCCAGAGAGAGAATGAATATTTGTCTGTTATTTAGTGCTAGTCTTGGGGCTTGAACTCAGGACTGGGGCTCTGTCCTTGAGCTTTTTTTCCCTCCTGAAGACTAGAGCTCTATAACTTGAGCCACAGCTCCACTTCCAGTTTTTTTGGGGGGTGGTTAATTGGAGTTAAGAGTCTTACAGACTTTCCTGCCCAGGCTAGTTTTAAACCAAGATCCTCAGATCTTAGCCTCCTGGGTAGCTAGGATTACAGTCATTAGCCACTGGCACTTGGCTCCAATATCTACTTTTGTTAATTCTCTGTATACTAGTTTTATTAAGGTGTTCATTTTTCCTTATAACTCTCTTTTATACATTTAAGTTTTTCCAACTTACTAAGATTATTATTTTCTAATGAATTCTTATTTTACTTATTTTTTTATTATATGTTTCAATATTGGCTTTAAAAATCATCCTAACAATTTTGTTTGTGGTGCTGATGGTCAAACACAGGACTTGCAAATGCTGGGCAAATGCTCTACCACTAAGCAGTCACAGCCTCATACCTTTACTTTTGCACCAATTCTATTGTGGTATATTCAACAAAAGTGCACTACATCTGAGCTGTGGTTCAAATGGTAGAGTGCTCTTCATGAGCAAAAGAGCTCAGGGACAGAGCTTGGGCCCTGAGTTCAACCCCTACAACCAACTAAAAAAAGGAAAAGGAAAAAGTATTATGGCTAGATACCAACAGCTCACCCTTTACTCCAAAATTTCCTCATAACCCATACAGATCTTCCTTTCTGATACTTAACATCATCCTTTAACTGATAAACTTAAAATAACAGATACAAAACCTTCCTTCCTTCCTTCCTTTCTTTGTGTGGGTGTATGTATGCTGGTCCCTGGGCTTGAACTTGAAAAATTAAAAATTAGAGTTACATTTTACAATTGCTAACTGCTGATTTTGCTTTTGTAAACTTGCTCGCCCTAGCACTAACCCCCCATTTTCTGGAAATAAGGAATTGAGTAAAGAGTCTTGGAGCCTAGATGCTGGCCTGGGACAAGGCCTGTGGTCATAAATAAAGAACAAACAAGTAAATTCCCCAAGTGGTCAAATGGGACCCAAGAATGGGACCCAAGATAAGGACCACCTGGCAAGTCCAGCAAACTAGGCCAAATGTTAATCAATCACAAGCCTGTAACTATGTAAACTCCCCTCCAGGGTGACCGCTCCCCCTATACTTGCCCTGAGTCAACTGTTTTACAAAGAGTGTTATAAACTTCCCCGCATAGTAAAAATGATTGCTGGAGTGTATAGTGACTTTTAAATGGGCCAATCCGGGGGACACCTGGTGTTATATGCTAATGCTTGTGGTTTTTGCCTTTAAAAATGCTTGTAACCGCTGCTCGGGGCTCTCTCCTGTGCCGAGGCAGAGAGACCGTTTGCGCAAACGTCAAATAAACTCCTCTTGCTTATTGCATCTCCCGGCCTGGAGTCTGAGTTTTCTGGGGCGCCTGTAATGCCCAGAGACTTGAAGCGCCTAAAAAGACCACCAGAGACCAAAGATCAATGCAAGCGGCAATGAGATGTTTATTGACGAGCTCGAGCACGGACCCCTCTGTGCACTGATGTCCGAGTACAGAGAGAGGCCCCCAGCTCAGGGTTACAGCACCTTTTATATGTTCTTTGGTAGGGGTAAGGCCTCAGTATGTATTGGCAATGAATCAATACACCACTCGGGAAATTTAAATCATAATTCTAGCGGATGATTGGCACAGTACAAAGCGGAAAAAGGGCTGGGGCTAATAATTGGTCAGCCTAGTGAGCTATTGTGCTCTAAACTAACTAGAGGGTACTTTTAGGGTAATTTAGAAGTGGTTGCCAGATGGCCACTATCTCTGACCCTGACCCTGGGGGAAGTGGTTGCCGGGCAGCCACTATCTCCGATCCTAGGCCCAGAGAAAGTGGTCTGGAATGTGTCAGGTACTCCCTGCCAGAGGGTCGTTAATTTCAGCTCCAGATCCAGGAGTGTCAGGGGCTCAAGGGCGGGTAGAATAGCAGCTGCACTCTTCAAGGTTTAGCAAGCATGTGTACAGAAGCAGAAAGGCAAGTTAAAGAAAGTACAAAATGGCAAATACCGGTCTAATACAAAATGGCAAATACCGGTCTATCTGGTTATATATATATCTCACGCTTCTCACGCCCTCCCATTGACAAAAGTATCTCAGAAGTCTCGGGTCTTTCAGAACTCAGGTCCTGACTTTTGTGCTCAAGGCTAGCACTCTGTCACTTGGACCACAGCTTTGTTTCAGGTTTTTTGTGTGGCTAGTTTAAGAGTCTCAGAGACATTCTTGCTTGGGTTGGCTTTGAACCACAATCCTCTGATCTCAGCCCCAGATGGAAGGGGATTGATTATAGGTGTGAGCCGTTGGTATCTAGTCATAATATTTTTCCTTTTTTTTTTTTGTTGGTTGTAGGGCTTGAACTCTGGGCCTGGGCTTTGTCCCTGAGCTCTTTTGCTCATGGAGAGCATTATACCACTTTGAGCCACAGCTCACTTTTTTTTTTGAGTGGTTATTTGGAGATAAGTGTCTGTCTCATTGGGGACTTTTCTGGCTGAGCTGGCCTTGAACTGTGATCCTTAGATCTCAGCCTCCTAAGTAGCTAGGATTACGGGTGTGAACCATCAGCTCCCATCACATTATTTTTTTTTCTCTTTTTTAAAAAAATTTTTTGGTCCTGTCGTGGGGCCTGAACTCTGGGCCTGGGCACTGTCCCTCAGCTCTTTAGCTCAAGGCCACAGCGCCACTTCTGTCTTTTTTCTTTTTTCTTATGTAGTGCTGAGGAATCAAACCCAGGGCCTCCGGCATGCAAGGCAAGCTCTCTACCACTGAGCCACCTTCCCAGCCCATACATTACTTTTTCTTAATGAGAGTAGCTATATAGTATGCAACTGGCTGGCCTTGAATTCTAGATTTAGCTTCATTTTTTGTGAGAATTTGAGTAATCTAGGTCTACATGAAGGAATTACATTATCACAGGGAGGGCTTCTCAGCCTTTGGAGAAGGCCCACATTTGTATCCCTCTGCCTGGGCCCTGCCACTCCCACCCATCTGCCCAGACTCAGCAGAGATAGCTGTAACAAAATTTATCTTTTATTTCATGTATCCCCATGAGATAAGATTGGTGTGGGGCATGTCTTCATTGTATCACGGCCCTGCTTGATGAGTGGCTCCTGGTCTTTTTCCTCACAGACTTCTAGAGACTTAGGACTGGCCTGTGGGAGGAGGTCAGGGTGCAGGGTGGGTTTTCTTACACTCAAGCCCAAAGCTAACCCTTCCCACCTTTCTCTGACCTGTGTGTCCAGTCCCCATCCTTAGCTGTGTCCCCTGCTGGAATGCTCTTGCTCAAGATCACCCTCTTAGAACCCTCAGTACCTTCTCGCTTCCCTTCCCTACCCTCCCTCAGGAACTATCTCTGCTCCTGGCCACCTAATGCCAGGACTCACCCACTTCCTTTTGCGAGGTGGCCCCTTCTTGCGTGCTCTGGGATTGAGCAAGGATCTGAGGCCCATGCTTTTCCAAGTCCTCTTTCAGCCTAGTTAGGAAGTTGTTCCAAGAGGAACAGAATGATGTAAGAGAGGGGTGGGAGGAGAAGACAGCCCTCATCCTCCTTCCTGGGTTGGGGACGGTCAGAAGGGCTCCCTGCCCACCTCCACCGCTTCTGCTGCAGATGCTGGCACCTCTGCCGCAGCTGCTGGTGTTGCTGGGCTGCAGCCCCCAGGAGCTCCTCAGCTTTCTTGTTCTCCTCCTTAAACAGTTCCCTGAGGGTGGGGTGGGGTTAGCATCAGCCACTCCCTCCTCTGGCTACCCCTTCCCTTGCATCTTACACCACTGCTGCCACTTCCGGGCTGCGGAGGGAGAACCCCTCCCGGAGGGTGGAGGGCCCCTCAGGACCACACAGGGAGAGCAGCCCTTGCTTCACGTCCTCCAGCTTCACCTCAACCAGCTTCTCTGCAGAAGGAAGGGGAGGTGAACACTGAGGGCAGGCAAGGGCAGGGCAGGGCAGGGTCCTATTCCTGCCCTGGCCTTACCTTCCTTCAGCAGTTGCTCCTTGTTGCTGTCCAGGGCACAGGTCTCCCTTGCTGGCTGCTCCGGATTCTGAGGAGGACAAAACCAAGGTCTGTCTACATCTCCTATCTCCCCCATATCTCAAAGAAGTCTGCCTGGATCTGGTCATTTGACCCTCATATCTCATTTCCTAGTACCCTGGCTCCTCTCTGCACACCAGCCAAAGCCCAGATTTAGGGTCTTTTCTACTGGCCATTCCTATTCCCTGCCTATTCCTGCCCCTTACCCCCTGCCCCACCACGGACCTCTCGTGAGAAATAGCTGCTGTGGCAAGTATTTAGTCACAGAAAAGTCTAAAGCTCCTACGACTCTGGCTGTTGCCCCAGCATGGCACTGTAGCTCCTGTCTCCCTCCCCTCCCTGTGATGGCCTATTCACTAGTCCTCTTCCCCACGGACATTGCTTCCCAAGGCAAACACTGGCCATCTGTTCCCTGCTGTCTCCCCTGTGCCTGTGACAGTCCCATCATATCCAGGAGTGTTCTGGATAGGTGGCTTCAGCCCTGGTGCTATCAAGGTTCCTCCTGACCACTGAATGGACACACAGGGCAGCAGGAGTAGGTGTTCAGACCAGCAATGTGGACACCAAACAGAGGAATGGATTCAGGGTGATAGTGGTGATAGGTGACTAAGGCTTGCAAATGGGCAATATGTGGGAGTGAGGAGGCATGGATCTGAATGACTCACATGAAATTCCCAGAGGTCCTTGTGTTGGCCCATCAGAATCTCCAGCTGCTGCTCAAAGTCCAACCTGGAGGCCAACCACACAGGCATGAGGCTATGAGCCGGCAGCCTGGCCTGGGCCGGGCATCGTAGGGACCTTACTCATACTCTTCTCCATGAGGAGCACCTTCACCCCCTTGGTCCTCCAGGGCTCAGTTAGACTAGCTCCTCTCACACATCCTCAATATGATCTGATGCCCCCAGCCTCATGTACTGGAGTTTACCTCAGCTGCCTCTGTTTATTCTTCTCTTCCTCAATCTGGGAGTTCAGAGAAGAAATCCTCTCCTGGCATTCTTGCAACAGGGTGTGCTTCCTGGAAAGAAAGGCAATCCTCAGCCATTCTCTGACTCTCCTGGAATGGAGCTAGTAGTTTCCCCTCTGTTTAGATCCATATCTGTAACATGGTGGGAGGGGTGTTAGGACGACCTACTCCTGTGTTGTGAAGATTTGGGAGATCAATAGGGTCATAGTCTCTTACCTCTGGGCCTCATTTTCCTTTTCTTGGCAATGCAGCTGATGGATTCTTGGGGTTTCTATAGAGAGCAATAGGGTCCTATAAGTGCCTGACAAGGCATCCACTTTGAGAAGACAGAACAGGTTCAGATTCTGTCAGACTGTGGATATCTTTCTGGGCTTTGACATTTCCCAGTCTGGTGTAAGCCATAGAGGGATGCAACCTCAGGAGGTTTCAAGGCCTTTCTCAACTACAGAAACAAGGGCTTTCTGCAGGATCAATAGCAACAGTCTGAAGATGGAGGAGCTCAAAATACCTTGCGTTTTCCTGAAGATCTCCTTTAGTCGTACTTTCTCTTCATGTACTGAAAAGCATAATGAATGTTTACTTATCAGAGATCACCTAGACACTGTCAGGGATAGTCACAGGAGACTAGGTACAGCCCTGACTCTAAACCAAACCTGGACCCCTATAGGTGAGCCTCCTCACCTTGATACTCATACTCCCTTGTCATCACAAACAACCTTTACATTTGGAATATGAGTGCAAGGGTCCTGTGTGATGCCCATTAGGGCTTGAAAGCAATAGCCATCAGAAAGTGGTGTCTTTATGTATGGTGACTGGGAAGGCATTGGTGGCGTCTATATGTAGGATGATTGGAGGAGGCCTTTGGTGGTGTCTTTATGTAGGGTGACTGGGAAGGCATTGGTGGTGTCTTTATGTAGGGTGACTGGGAAGGCATTGGTGGTGTCTATATGTAGGGTGACTGGGAAGGCATTGGTGGCGTCTATATGTAGGATGATTGGAGGAGGCCTTTGGTGGTGTCTTTATGTAGGGTGACTGGGAAGGCATTGGTGGTGTCTTTATGTAGGGTGACTGGGAAGGCATTGGTGGTGTCTATATGTAGGGTGATTGGAGGAGGCCTTTGGTGGTGTCTTTATGTAGGGTGACTGGGGAAGGCATCTATGAGAGGGGGATATCTCAGCTCAGCAACAAATAGTGTTCTGAGAAAAGAGGAATGAAGAATGAGTTATTTAAGAGAACAAAAGGAGCATGAGTGTATTCGGAGGGCATTTCCAGACCCCCACCACTAGAAGATCCAGGGATGGAGAGAACAGGAGGCTAGAGAGATAGCAGGCCCCTTGACCATGAAGATGCTCAGTGTCTGGAATATTGGGTCAGGAAAAGCTGGAGACACTGTGGGGACCTCTAGTGGGCCCCAGCCAACTTACACGCGTCCAGTTCCTTCTGCAGAGCGTCCCAGACAGTTCTCGGCTCTCCCAGCTCTTCACTGACTTTCCTTTTAGCTTATCAAAGAGTAGAACAGACATTGTTTGAGTGAAGTCTCTAGCTGCATTATTGTCTTTCAAAACTGATATTTCACATTTTTCTTCACGCAAACCTGGAGTTGCTCAGAGTCCCAGGATCTTCCTGTTGGGTTCAAGTGGTATCAAGGCCATAAAACTATAGTGGCACTTTCATGCAGAAGGGCATCCCTGCACTTACATTGTGCATATTTTGTGGCCTGCTATTACTATTCTGTAATTTTGAGGATATTTTTGACCAAGGGCTCCTGTATTTTCACTTTGCATTGGAGCTAAAGCAAAGCACACAAGTGATCCTAAATAGCAGCCAAGGTCTCTGGTTTTTTTTTTTTTTTTGTCCGTCGTGGGGCTTGAACTCTGGGCCTGGGCGCTGTCCCTCAGTTCTTCAGCTCAAGGCAAGCGCTCTACCACTTGAGCTACAGAGCCACTTCCGGTTTTCTAGTGGTTTATTGGAGATAGGAGTCTCATGGTCTTTCCTGCCCAGGCTGGCTTTGAACCGCGATCCTCAGATCTCAGCCTCCTGAGTAGCTAGGATTACAGGCGTGAGCCACCAGCGCCCGGCCAGCCAAGGTCTCTGAACTCACCTTGCTGAACTTCATTAACTCGGTTAATCAGGACCTCAATCTGTGGCACTAGAGTTCCCACTGCAGAGAGGAAGAGAGGTTGAAATGGCAACACAACAGTCTGTACCTCTGCAGCTATCACTCCACACAAATCCACTGAGCATCTCCTGTGTACAGGGGCTACATCATGGGCTCACACTAGGGACTAATGAGTCAAGCGGTGGTAACTTCATTCAAGAGAAGTAAAGTGGGGCAAAGTTTCGAGAGTGAAGGAGTAGGAACTGATTCTTGGGTATGGAAAAGTATCTTGTAGGTCCCCTATCAAGTGAGTACTGCAGGCTCTGCAGCTCTCTGGGTGAAAGTGGGGGACAGTCAGTACAGAGGCCTGCCCTGGTGTGGGATCTAAGGGTACTGTGCCAGCCAAGTGGGGTGGCCAGCAAGAGGCTTGGGACAGGATTTGAGGAAAATATCTTTTATTCTGTTTGCTTATATTTTTGTAATTTTGAATCACCACTATTTTTGGCTAAAAGAATTAAAATGTAAAAGAAAGTGAGAGTTGAGGGAATAGGTTCCTGAGTTTCTGACTTGTGGGGGCTGGAATGGAATCTACACCTGCCTAACCCAGAACTTCAGCAAACACAGAGGAAACACAAGACCCTCCGCAAACACAGAGGAAACACAAGACCCTCCGCAAACACAGAGGAAACACAAGACCCTTCCGCAAACACAGAGGAAACACAAGACCCTCCGCAAACACAGAGGAAACACAAGACCCTTCCGCAAACACAGAGGAAACACAAGAAAGACCCTTCTGCAACTTTTTCACCATTTTGGCCAAGTCTTCAATTTTCTGTGTGTGTCTTGCCCTGTGGAGCAAAACTAAGCATTTCAAAACCCAATAGGGTGAAATGCCAGGGGGAGGATTCAACATCCCAGCTGGATCTGGGATGAGGTGAAGGCATTATTCTAGTTAGAGTAGCGCCTTTAATCTTTAATGTGTAAGAGATGAGTTTGGCCCCTCCCTGGCCAGACTTTCCCTATGGTTTGCAATGACACCACAGTTATGCCCTTCATAAAACTCAAAGCAATGGTAGGGGCTGTGGTCAAACTGGAATCAGCATTCACAAAGTTATAACGTATTCAAACAAGTTGCTTTCCTTTAAGCCTTCAACCCTAGCTGTAGGACACTAAGGCAGGAGGATGGAGAGGAGCAGGAAGAGCCAATGTGGTGAGACTCAGTCTCAAAAATACTAATCCTTTGAGATGTAGCTCAGCAAAGCACAGCCCTTGCCTAGCGTGTTCAAGGCCCTAGGTTCCATCAACTAGCATGGAAAGAAAAAAGAGGGTATTAAAAAAATTGAAAATGAGTTGAAAGTCACTGTACTGGCAGGTGACATTATCAGTGAGGAAGCTCTACAAAGTTTACAAAAGTTCTAAAAAAACACAAGGGGCTGGGAAGGTGGCTCAGTGGTAGAGCGCTTGCCTTGCAAGCACGAGGCCCTGGGTTCAATTCCTCAGCACCACATAAGCAGAAAATCCAGAAGTGGCGCTGTGGCTCAAGTGGTAGATCACTCGCCTTGAATTGAAGAGCTGAGGGACAGCACCCAGGCTCAGGGTTCAGGGCCCACAATTGACTAAATAAATAAGTAAATAATAAAAAACATAAGAACTTGCAACAATATGTAATCAACTGTAGTTAATACAAATAGCTTTCCTATGTATAACCAATGCTAACTATGAAGCCTCTATTTAAGGTATTTCATAGTAATATTCTCGTCACTACATGCACCTATTTTAACTCACTAATGAATTAATAGATGTAGGAAATTACTTACAATATTAACATTATGATAATGTAAAGACATTTTGAGCCATCTGATATAAGAAGACATTATCTCTGGGTGCCAGTAGCTCACACCTGTAATCCTAGCTACTCAGGAGATGGAGATCTGAGGATTGTGGTTCAAAGCCAGCCTGTGCAAGAAAGTCAATGAGACTCTTATCTCCAATTAACCAACAAAAGTCAGAAGTGGAGTGCAGCTCAAGTGGTGGAGTGCTGGCTTCAGCACAAAAGCTCAAAGTCCAGGCAAAGTTCAAGCCCCAGGACGGGCACGCGCGCACACGCGCGCGTGCACACACACACACACACACACACACACACTATCAGCTATTAAAAACCTGCTGAAAATGATACTTATGTTTATTAAAGCTTATGATCTAAATTCTAAATTCAGGGGATATTCACAGACAAAACAACATAGTGAGGAGCTGGGAAGGTGGTTCAGTGGTAGAGCGCTTGCCTTGCATGCCTGAGGCCCTGGGTTCTATTCCTCAGCACCACATAAGCAAAACGAAAAAAGCCAGAAGTGGCGCTGTGGCTCAAGTGGTAGAGCGCTAGCCTAGAGCTGAAGAGCTGAGGGACAGCGCCCAGGCCCAGAGTTCAGGCCCCACGACCGGACCCAAAAAACAAAACATAGTGAATGGCACATGAGGGTGTATTTACCAACATCAAAACAGAGATATCACATAAAGACAACTGTTTAACAAATAAATTTGAAGGGGAAAGGGAGGAAGAAAAGAAGGGACCCAAAGGAATAAGGTGCCTTAGAAATATAAGCAATCTCTGCAATTGTGTGGTGATGGAGAGAAAAAAAGTATAACTTCCCATCACACCAAAATTTGGAAACTGGCTAGATATTTGATGAAATAAAGGAATTACTGCTGCTACTACATGAAAGTGGCAATGGTATCACTTTTCTGAAGAGAACTTACCTTTAGAGACATATATGGAAATATTTATGGATAATTATGATGTCTGAACTGCTTTATAATGAAATAGGAGAGTAAATGGTAAAGAATAAAAAGATTTGTCAGTGGTCAGGAACTATGAAAACTGGACCACTATAGCTTGTTTTCTATTTTGCATATGCTTAAAAATTTGGAAGGCCCCTGTCTTCCTACAAAACAGAACAGAGGTGCTGCTAGCTGACCATCCCTGCTGGTGCGTGCAAACTGAAGGACCTGCGTCGCTCCTGCTCTTGTCCTCTTTCTCCTTGCATGGCAGAGGCTGGGCCCTTTCCTCGGGGTTGGGTGACGGTAGAAGGGGGGTCTTTTGCCCTGCAGGGCTCTGATCTTGGTGCTTCTCTGGGGGAGGGGGCAATCTCCTTCCCTGCTGGACTCTGACCCTTGGTGACTCTCCAGAGTCGTCCCTCCTGAAGGACTCATTGTCCCGGACACCTCCCTCCTGGAGGTCTGCTTCCCCAGGACCCCCCCCC